CGGTTTCGCTCAAATTCAGTAGCCTGCGAGGTGATCTCGTACCCAGATCCAACCCTTTAACTGTAATTGAACTGTAAGTTACAACCGCCCGGCCGTGAATGTGGTGGGTACGAGACTACCTTCAAGCAGACCTTCTCTGCCCGTGGGAAGACTTGAAACGAATCAGGGAGAGGTGTGCCAGGGGTCCGGCACCACTTGCAGACCTCTAGCTGACTACCCTTTACAGGACTATAGAGAATTGGCTGCCATTGAACTGCCAATGAGAGAGGATCGTAAGAATATTACAGAAGCTTATGGGGGAATCAGGCAAATTTTATCGTGACAACCAAAACCATGAACGAGAAAAAACGAGCTCCACAAACATATTGTTATACGTTTTAAGCGAACGGAGGTAACAAAGGGAAACTCATAAGTAATTTATTTTCTTTAACTTCCCATCTCAGCACCGGCCGCAACCATCTGCCGAGATGTGAGGACTGTTTACTCGAACGTTAGATGACGGAGGGTACTATTGTTGTTCTCCTTAGTAAGGCTTGTGATAAATTGGCTTGCTAAAATATCGCAACCCATTAACTATTTGTCTGAAATAGCGGCCCCTATAATTTATAAGTGAGTGAAAATCATGAGCAAATTGTATTGTAACCAGTCTTCGAAATTTTTGCCCATATTCGCCGAACTTGAAGATCTTCGCTCGACTTGTATCGTCAACTGTGTCTTCAACATTTTTCTTACTTACACCGCCTTCATGTTGAATATTTTGACAATCTACGCCATCCACAAAACTTCAACAATGCCAAAAACTTTGAAAACTCTACTGCTAAGTCTTGCCTGCTCGGATGTTGGTGTTGGTTTATTTAGTCAACCATTATACACTTTCTTCCTTATCAACTGGCTTCGACTAGACAATCCTAGCTGTATCCCTAAACAAGTGGGGACGATTTTAGGTAGTTTATTTTCAGCTGCCTCGTTCCTCGGTGTTGTGGCTATAAGTGTAGACAGGTTCTTAGCTGTTCATCTTCATCTCAGATACCAGGAGTTCGTGTCTCACAGGCGTGTTGTTGTGGTGGTGGTCAGCATATGGGTGTATAGTGCATTTGTTTCTTTGTTTACATTGTGGGGGCTTCTTAGTGCTTGGAATCTTATAAATACAATTACTGTTGCTTTCGGTTTTATTATCACACTCGTGGTGTACATCAGGATATATCAAACTGTACGACGGCACAAGAATCACATTCAGTCCATGCAAATACGAGACGAAGCTCAGTCTGAGGAGATAAAAAACTTAACTGCTCTAATTAAATACACAGTTGGAATATTTCACGTATATCTCGTGTTTTTAGTTTGTTATTTGCCCCTTTTCATTTGCATGGATGTTATTCAATTTTATGGCTCGAGTATCGTTTTAAAGAAACTTTTTCTTTTCTTATTGACTCTCGTGTTCCTGAATTCATCTTTGAACCCTGTTATTTACTGCTGGAAGATTAAACACATTCGACATGCTATCATAGACATATTACGAAAGATGTATTGGAACAGCAATCGGCCATTTCGGATCAATTACAATCGGTCATCGAGTGTCGTCCATATTGATAACTGATCGCCTCTGTGTGGCTTACAAAGACTATGGGCGGTATTTGTTTACGACAAAGTAAAATAGGGACAAAGAAGATTGTACATAAACTTAGTGATATGACCCGGCAGCCAAATAATCCCGTGGTTCCAATTTTAAGTACTCGATAAATCGAACAATCTGTAATGTGGAAGGGAAAGGCTAATTTGAGCAAGAAAGCTGGTGTTATCATCGATAGATAGTGAAATTGTAATTATGGATGTAAATAAAAGTAGGATACGACACAAGATTTTATTCACATCAAGGTTTCCGTCGCTCTTAGTTTCAAATCAGAATTTAAAATCAATAACAGTGGTTGCGGACTTAAGCTTCGGAAAAGGTTTCATTTTTCCCTTGTATATTTTGCCCATAACTGCCAACTGTTTCGCCGAATTTCTCAGTTAAAACTAGCACTGACAGAAAAACAAATAGGAGCTAGTATTTACGAGGGAAGAAAAATCGATGTTAATGATTAGCTAGTGAGTGGACTGAAAACGAAAATGGATTGATCGATATCCTTGGAAATTAAACAAACAGCAAAAAGCACTGAGTTTGTGTTAACACTTTTGAGGTAAAAACTTAGTCGAAGCAGAATGCTGCATATGAAAACAAAAACAGAGGTGGCTTTAGAGTTATTGATTAGCCCGCAGATGTTTGCAGGTTACCCTTAATAACACCGAGAGTTTTGAGAACTTAAAATTAAGTATGTTTTTCCTTGTTATTTCCTTTGTTTATATGCAAATAACAGATAGGTTTTGGAATCATTATGACAATTCTTTGCAATTTGAAGACAAATTAAATGGGTCAATAAAATGAGATGTATTGAAAACATTAGTCTCGAAAGTTTGTTTATACAAATAATCGACGGCTTAAATTTTGGGCATATCTATGATGATTACGTGGCAATTTGAAAATGCCTTTCAAAATCTCGGAGAATATTCTAAAGCCTCGATTTCTCCTGGTTTTGAGGGGCAACAGAGTGGGGATCAGTCGTCGCCAAGAGATTTTGTGGGGGGGAAGGCTAAAGAAACTTGCTTTGGATGATATTTGTCACAGCGTCGCTTTTCTTAAAGGCAGACAAGGTAAGAAGTAGGGAAGGGGTAATAAGAATATTACAGTCTTATGGGGGATAATATTGCTTTTATCTCGACACAACCAAAATCCTCTTTAGGTAATAAATAAAACATCAAAAAGCCTTGAAGATGATAATAATACATTCTCAACTATGTTTGGTTTAATTATCTTAATCGATAATAAGTTATGGAACTTTTGATAGCACTGACCTCCCTTTTCCTGAATTAGTTTTTGCAGTAATCGTTGCTTTTAGAAGTAAATGCGTTTAATCTGATTTCCTACAGCAGAAAGCCATCAAAAATAGTTCATCAGTCATTTATCCTCCTAGGAGACTGGTCATTATTTATCGCCTGTGGGAAGAGGGGGGGGGGGGTGTTAGAGGATCTTGGTCGAGTCACAACAATCTTACACGGTCCCCCATAAGATTCTATAAGATTCCTATGACCCCTCCCTCCTAGGTGCCGTTAATCGGTCAGTCAGTCTCCTCTTAATACTCTGTTGGCGACAACTGAAACCCCTTTTGTTTTCCCTTCGACGCTATTACAAATAATCTCCGAGATTTGGAAAGACATCTTTAAATCACCACGTAATCATCATGGATAATCCTGAAATTTAAGCCGTCGATTATCTGTCCAAAAAAAAAACTTTTAAAACGAGAATAATTTTTTGACTTTATTTTATGTGACTGACCCATTAACTTGTCTAGAAATGAGAGAGAATTGTTAAATTAATTCAAAAACCTATCAGCTATTGCGTCTAAGCGAAAGGAGGTTACAAAGACAAAATACTTAATTTTAAGTTCATAAAATTCTTGGTCAGCTAGTATTATGTAAAATGTCATTAAAACATCTGCAGACTAATCGATAACTTTCGTTTTCGTATGCAGCATTCTGCTTTGAATAAATTTTTACCTCAAAAGTGTAACCAAAGGCAAACGAAATGCTCTTCGCTGTTTGTTTAGTTTTCAAGCATATCAATCAACCCATTTTCGTTTTCCATTCACCCGATAGACAATGATAAATAATAATTTCCCTTTCCTTCTTAAAATACGCCTCTTGTTTCTTCTCCGCCTGAGGAAAAAACGTGACGCTCCAAATGTGACGCTATACCATTTCATCGTGGAATCATTTAAAGTTTTTTAACTTCTAAAGAAAGAGCCGGAAGTTTATTCCCTTCACTCATGATCATAACTTATATTTATTTGCTGTTTATTCCTGAGCATCATACTATCAATACCATGTCCCTAAATTGATCATCTTTGTCATTCTCATTATCTGCTTGCTTTAAACTTTCTTAAAATTACACTTTAATAGGGGAGTAGAGGAGTTGACTGTTTATTAATATGAGCATCGTATACTCCTCCAACAAACTATTTTTAGCCACTTAAATTATGTCTTAAATCTCCCTTCAAATCATCATAAACCAAGAACTACCTCGATAAGCAGTAAAATTCAGTCATTTAAGATAAAAGTTAAATGCCATATCATCGGAAATAGTAAATAAGGTAAAACGCTGTACTTGATCACAATAAGTTATTCGAAAGCTATTTTCGTTTTGTTTTGTGTTTTCCTATTTTCCAAACAAGCCTAGTTAATCGTCAGACTTGAGCAAACGAAAGCAATAACGATTAAACTCTTTTTGATTGTAAATAGTTCACATTGTCACAATGATGTTAGCCATAAAAGTCGAAGTAAAAAGTGGTAAATTGAAAGAAAAATACTGCAGGATGTCTGCTTACAGCGTGATCCATTCATTAAAATTAGCGCAAACAGATGCTTTTAAACTCTGTGCCTGTAAAAGTTTGTTCTCATTTAGGTACGAGCAATTTTCTTCGCGGACTTTATCTTACTGCTTCTTAGGGTAATGCTTCTATGGAAAAAAATGATTAAATTGATGATAAAAACTCTTTTTTTCATGAGTTAAAGCAGCCTTCTTGAAGATGCTTCGGGGGAATTCCCCTCCGATCAACATATGGCTAAATAAAAAATGACTTATCGAAGTTTTGAGTTTTGTCGTGAGCCTAAACAGTTTTTTTATATTTTAACCTCCTTAGAACAGATAGCCAATAATGAAGCTCGTTCAATTTAGGAGCTAGCTGAGACACATCGATAACCAAACCAGCTTTCCTGTTTAATTGGCCTCTTTCGTTCCACCTGTGAGAATTTGATGTATTGTGTATTTGAAACTCGACAGGATACGCAATGATTTGGCTGCTGAGTCATATCACTAAGTTTATGTACAATGTTCTTTCTCCCTGTTTCCTTTGTGGTGAACAAACCGTGCACGTGCACAGTCCATGTTAGATGCACAGAGTGGATCAGTTATCAACATGGGCGACTCTCGATGATCGATTGTAGTTTATCCGTAATGGCCAATTTCTCTTCCAAGACATCTTTCGCAGTATGTCCATGATAGCGTGTCGAACGTGTCTCGTCTTCCAGCAGTAAATGACAGGGTTTAAAGATGAATTCAGGTACATGAGAGTCAGTGAGTAAAGAAAAAATTGTTTTAAAGCGGTACTCGAGCCATACATTCGAATAACAGCCATGTAGATAAAATAAGGCAAATCACAAATTAAAAACACGAGATATACGTAGAATATGCCAACTGTGGATTTCAAGAGAACAATAGAGCTCTTTATTTCATCAGAATGAGCTACTTCTTGTACTTGCAAAGAATGAATCTGATTCTTGTGCCGTCGTACAGTAAAATATATCCTGATGTACACCACGAATGTGACAATGAAACCGAAAGCTGTAACAACCAAATCAATAAGATCCAGGGCACTAGGTGGGCTCCACAATAACATCAAAGAAACAAATGCACAGCACAACCATTTTCCGATCACCACAACAACAACACGCTTGCGAGGCACAAGCTCTTGATATCTGAGATGAAGATGAACAGTTAAGAACCTGTCTTCACCTACAGCCACAACACCAAGAAAAGAAGCAGTTAAGAATAAAAAAAACGGAATATTAAGCACTTGGTAAGTATTACAGTTAATATGTTCCAGATGCAACCACTTGACCAGAAAGAAAGTGTATATTGGTTGGCTAAACAAACCAACAGCAACATCCGAGAAGGCAAGACTCAGCAGCAAAGTTTTCAAAGTTTTTGCGATTGCCGAAGTTTTGTGGATGGCGTAGATTGTCACAATATTCAACATGATGGAGGTGTGAGTTAAAAAATTGTTAAAAATACAGTTGGTGATAAAAGTCGAACGAAGATCTTTAAGTTCAGTGTATGTGGGAAAATAATCCAAAGACTCGTTACAAAATAATTTGCTCATGATATCAACTCACTCATAAAAGATAGGACCATCTACTCCAGACAAACAGAAGGTGTTGCAATTCTTTAGCAGGACAGTTTCTCCTTATTTTAGGCAGAAAATCTTGAGCTGATTCCATTTTCTGCCTAAAAAGTCACCTTTCCTCTCAATAGTGATAAACTTCAACAAAAGGAATCCTCTTAACTCTCGCAATATGGGTTTTTGGGATGTCAGCCAATGACAAAGAAAGAACTTTCGTCAGACAAATTAATTCAGAGATGGAGGCAGTCAAGATGTTCGATTGTATTTTGTAATCGACACTTTTCTCCCGAGGCTTGTTTTAATCATATATCTTGGAGATGTTAATACTAATACTAACACAAGATAAAATGTGTCCTTGAAAAGCCTCCCTTGCCCCAGCCCCTAGCTCCGCCGTCCCTGAGGTATTCCGATATCAACATGAACGACACTTGAACGCCGATTGTAAAATTACGCCAGATGGCTGATTTGTTCTCCAAGATATGTTTTGCGGTATTTCCATAAAAGTGCGTCGAATGTGTCTCACCTCTTAACAGTAAATGACAATCCGCTATGGAACTCTTTCTAATAACTCAGTTCTCGCTATTTGCGAATAAGCTTTTGCAATATTCGTTGCTGTTAGAAGTAGATGCATACAATTTGGGTTTCTACAGCAGAAAGCCATTAAAAAATAGTTCATCTGTCATATATCCTACCAAAGGAACGGTCAGTATTTATTTTCTGGGGGGGAGGGAAGGCAAAGGATTCAGTAGGACACATGCTTTTATTCCTATCAAGGATTCCGTCGCTTTCAATTTAAAATCAGAATCAATGAACCAATAACGGTAGTTGCGGACTTAAGCTTCGGAAAAGGTTTCTTTTTTTTTTTCATGTAAATTTTGCCTATAACTGCCGACTGTCTCGCCAAAACTAGCACTGACAACTAAGTGACATGCCAGCTTCAAATAAAACAGAAGGAAATGTTTTGCCATCCATCCTTCTGCCTCAAAATCAGAATTCTCAAATTACTTTGTGATAGTGTAAACGAACTTCTTCCTTTTGATAAACAGTCAACGCTTTGGCCACCCTTAATGTATAATTTGAAGAAATTCTAAAGCAAACAGGTAATAAGAATGACAGAAATGGTCCATTTGGGGACATGCTATTGACAGTAAGATTCTCAGAACTAAACAACAAATGAATACAAGGTATGATCAGGAGCGGAGGGAATAAACTTCCAGCTCTTTCATTAGAAGTAAAAAACTTTAATTGATCATACGATAAACGATATAGCGTCACATTGAGAGCGTCTCGTAATGCCCTCAGAAAGAAAAATTCAAAACGAAAATGGATTGATCGATATCCTTGAAAATTAAACAAACTACAAAAAGCATGAGTTTGCCTTAACACTTTTGAGGGAAAAACTTAGTCGAAGCAGAATGCTACATATGAAAACGAAAACAGAGGTGGCTATAGAGTTATTGATTAGCCTGCAGATGTTTGCGGGTGGTTCTTTATAACAGCGGTAGTTTTAAAAACTTTGTTTATATGCAAATAACAGATAGGTTTTGGAATCATTATGACAACTCTTTGCAATTTCTAGACAAGTTGATGGGTCAATAAAATGAAATGAACAATAAGCAATGTTTGGTTTAATTATTTTAACCCATAATAAGTTATGTAACTTATGGAACTTTTGGTATCAGTGATCTCGCTTTTCCTGAATTAGTTTTTGCAGTAATCGTTGCTTTTAGAAGTAAATGCGTTTAATCTGATTTTCTACAGCAGAAAGCCATCAAAAATAGTTCATCAGTCATTTATCCTCCTAGGAGACTGGTCATTATTTATCGCCTGTGGGAAGAGGGGGGGTGTTAGAGGATCTTGGTCGAGTCACAACAATCTTTACACAGCCCCCCATAAGATTCTATAAGATTCCTATGACCCCTCCCTCCTAGGTGACAGTTAATCGGTCAGTCAGTCTCCTCTTAATATTCTGTTGGCGACAACTGAAACCCCTTCTGTCTTTCCTAAGAGCTAGGAAAAGTCGACGCTGTTACAAATAATCTCCGAGATCTTGAAAGACATCTTTAAATCACCAATTAATCATAATGGATAATCCTGAAATTTAAGCCGTCGGTTATCTGTCAAAAAAAAAACCAACTTTTATAACAAGAATAACTTTTTGACTATATTTTATATACCCATTGTCTAGAATTGTTAAATTAATTTATAAACCTATCTGCTATTGCGTCTAAGCGAAAGGAGATTACAAAGAAAAACATATTTAATTTTAAGCTCATAAAATTCCCGGTCAGCTAGTATTATGTAAAATCACGTTAAAACATCTGCAGACTAATCAATAACTTTCGATTCGCATGCAGCACTCTGCTTTGAATAAATTTATACCTCAAAAGTGTAACCAAAGGCAGACGAAATACTCTTCGCTGTTTGTTTAGTTTTCAAGCATATCAATCAACCCATTTTCGTTTTTCATTCACTCAATAGACAATGATAAATAATAATTTCCCTTTCCCTCTTAAATACGTGCTCTTGGTTTCTTCTCTTCCTGAGAAAAAACGTGACCCTCCAAATGTGACGCTATACCATTTCATCGTGGAATCATTTAAAGTTTTTAACTTTTAAAGAAAGAGCTGGAAGTTTATTATCTTCACTCATGATCGTAACTTATATTTATTTGCTGTTTATTCCCGAGTATCTTACTATCAATACCATGTCCCTAAATTGATCTTCTTTGTCATTCTCATTATCTGCTTGCTTTAAACTTTCTTGGATTACACTCTAATAGAGGAGTTAAAGAGTTGACTGTTTATTAATATGAGCACCGTATGCTCCTCCAACACGCTATTTTTAGCCACTTAAATTATGTCTTAAATGTCCTTGAAAATTATCATAAACCAAGAAAGAACTATCCCGATCAGCATGGTCACGAGAGAAGTGAACTGTCGCAGTAAAATTCATTCATTTAAGATACAAGTTATATGCCATATCATCGGAAATAGTAAATTCCGTAGGAAATAGTGAAACGCAGCAATTGATCACATTAAGTTATTCAAAAGCTATTTTCGTTTTTTTTTGTGTTTTCCTATTTTCCAAACAAGCCTAGTTAATCGTCAGAATTGTGCATCATCTTTGCCAATCTCATTATCTGCTTGCTTTCAACTTTCTTTAAATTACACTTTAATAGGGGAGTTAAGGAGTTGACTGTTTTTTTAAGATGAGCACCGTATACTACTCCAACACGCTATTTTTAGCCACTTAAATTATATCTTAAGTCTTCCTGCAAATTATCATAAACCAAGAACGAACTATCACGATAAGCATGGTCACGCGAGAAGTGAACTCTCACAATAAAATTCAGTCATTTAAGATAAAAGTTATATGCCATATCATCGGAAATAGTAAATTAGGTAAAACGTTGTAATCGGTCACAACACGTTACTCAAAAGCTATTTTGGTTTTTTTTTTGTGTTTTCCTATTTTCCAAACAAGCCTAGTTAATCGTCAGACTTGTGCAAACGAAAGTAATAACGATGAAACTCTTTTTGATGTAAATAGTTCACATTGTCACAATGATGTTAGCAATACAAGTTATCCTTCGAAGTAAAAAGTGGTAAATTGACAGGAAAATTCTGCAGGATGTCTGCTTACAGCGTGATCCATTCATTACAATTAGCGCAAACAGATGCTTTTAACTCTATGCCCGTAAAAGGTTTTTCTCATTTAGGTACGAGCAATTATCTTCGCGGACTTTATCTTACTCCTTCTTAGGGTAATGCTTCTATGAAAAAAAAAATGATTCCGTTGATATTAATCAAAGTGCTCTGTGAGCAAACACGTGAATTGACACATGATTTTTTAGATTATGTTTAATGTTACCTGGTTTAGGGAATTTTGTGGTTGATTGTCATATCTAGAGTACGAGCAGTAGTTCAGTGTTCGCTAATGTAGCAAAGAAACAAAGTAACGTTGGGATAAGAAGGCATTACCATTGAAATGATCATGCTATTACATTTGACAAGGTGGATGATGTCATGTGTTTTAAACGTCTATCATTTTTGTTTCTGGTTTAAGAGAAAAGGTTGGAAGTAAATGTGGGTGAAAAGTGAGATTTACTGTCTTTCGTTGTAAATATTAGAAAATCAAGGCAATACTGTCTTAATGAAAACATTAACGATTCCCTCTTTATCAAAAGAGACAAACGGGAACGAGTTTTGAGTGATATAACTAAGCTAAGCCTGCCACCGTCATTTTGGATCTCCGCCTGGGTAGATTTAAGTCACGTGCTAGGCAACGTATAATCAATAACAAGATAGAATTTCATTTCAGGCCTATTTACCAATTTTGTGGTGTGTAACTTTCGCATTTTAGTACGTTGTATGTATGTTGAATCTTCAAATTGTCTTGAAACTTACAAGAAAATTGTTCTTTTAAAATTCACTGAAAATCGGTAGCTAAAACTGTTTGTTTAGGTGTTATTTGATTTTCGTGTTAACTTGTTATTTCGTCAGTCGCCGGCATCTTTTGTTGCTTCACACAGGAAAAACACACGCGACGAAACGTAATGATCAATTTTGTCCTCAATCTCACGCTATAACAGAAAAAGCTTTTGAACATCTGTAAACTCCGAGCGCTTCGCAGTAAGTGATATTTTCAATGAATCTTCGGATTGTTTTCAAGTTCAAGGATTGTAAATTACAATTTTATGAAAAACGAAGGTTGTTCTGTTATTTCAGTGTGAATCCTTGCATGCCTGCCAGTCGCTGGCGCCGCTTGTTGAAACTAAAACGTAAAAAAAAAACCCTTTAAAGATTATAATTGGCTTCTTTTTCACCCCACCACTATTCTTAGCAACAAAGGTCGCCATTTCGTCTTTTTATTGCTCGCCAAAAACTATCAAATGCACTCAAAAGCCTAAAATCTAAAAAAAGTTTACAGGAATCGACCAATCGAGCGAGCGAGCGAGCGAGCGAATGCCATTCCCCACATCGTACCTATAACTCGCTCTTGCGCATGCGCGCAATTCACGAGTTAAAAACTAGAGTTATAGCAGTTTTTTGAAGATGCTTCGAGGGAATTCCCCTCTGATCAACATATGGCTAAATTAAAAAAATGACTTATCGAAGTTTTGAGCCACGTACTGTCGTGAGCCTAAACAGTTTTTTTTCTGTTTCAACCTCCTTAGAATAGATAACCAGGTTGAGGTAAAAAGCAAATGAAGCTCGTTTAATTTAGGAATTAGCTGAGATACATCGATAACCAAACCAACTTTCCTGTTTAATTGTCCTCTTTCGTTCCAGTGAGAATTTGGTGTATTGTGTATTTAAACTCGACAGGATACGCAATGATTCTGCTGCTGAGTCATATCACTAAGTTTATGTACAATATTCTTTCTCCCTGTTTCCTTTGTGGTAAACAAACCGCGCACAGTCCATGTTAGACGCACAGAGTGGATCAGTTATCAACATGGACGACACTCGATGATCGATTGTAGTTTATCCGTAATGGCCAATTTCTCTTCCAAGGCATCTTTCGCAGTATGTCTATGATAGCGTGTCGAACGTGTCTCATCTTCCAGCAGTAAATGACAGGGTTCAAAGATGAATTAAGAAATATGAGAGTCAGTGAGTAGAGAAAAAATTGTTTTAAAGCGATACTCGAGCCATACATTCGAATAAGAGCCGAGCAAATGAAAAAAGGCAAATAACAAATTAACAATAAGAGATATACGTAGAATAAGCTAACTGTGGATTTAATAATAATTATTAAGTTTTTTATTTCATCAGAATGAGCTACTTCTTGTACTTGCATAGAATGAATCTGATTCTTGTGCCGTCGGACAGTTAAATATATCCTGATGTACACCACGAGTGTGACAATGAAACCCAAAGCTACCGCAACTGAATTAATAAGTTGCCGAGTACCAGGTAACACCCAAAATATCATGAAAGAAATAAATGCACTGTACAACCATTTGCTGATCACCACAACAACAACACGCTTGTGAGTCACAAGCTCTTGGTATCTGAGATGAAGATGAACAGCTAAGAACCTGTCTACACTTACAGCCACAACACCAAGGAACGAAGCAGTTGAGAATAAATAACTTAAAATCGTCGCCAATTGTTTAGTGATACAACCAGTATTGCGTAATCGAAGCCCGTTGATCAGAGAGAAAGTGTATAATGGTTGACTAAACAAACCAACAGCAACATCCGAGCAGGCAAGACTTAGCAGCAGAGTTTTCAAAGTTTTAGCGATTGCCGAAGTTTTGTAGATAGCGTAGATTGTCACAATATTCAACATGATGGAGGTGTGAGTAAGAAAATTGTTGAAGATACAGTTGACGATAAAAGTCGAAAGAAGATCTCTGAGTTCAGTGGATATGGGGTATATTGCAGAATCGTTGCAAATAACATTGCTCATGATATCAACTCACTCATAAAATATAAGAACTACTATTCCAGACAAACAGAGCGTGTTGCAATTCTTTAGCAGGACAGTTTTATCCTTATTTCGGGCAGTAATTTTTGAGCTAATTTCACTTTCAACTTAAAATGCTACCTTTCCTCCCAGAAGTGGTGAACTTCAATAAAAGGCATCTTCTCCTGGTGGTATGGGTTTTTGGGATGTAAACCAATGACAAAGGAAGAACTTACGTCAGACAAATTAACAGATATGTGAGCAGTCAAGATGTTCAATTGTATTTTAAAATAGACAGTTTTCTCCCTAGGCTTGTTTTTTAAGTGTATGTTAAACATGTTAATTCTAGCTTTTTTCTTAATTCCATGAAATTGAGAAGAACTGTTCAACACAGAAACCTGAAAGTTACTCTAAGCGAAAGGAGGCAATTACCAAAAAACTCGTCATTTAGATCGATCAGCGTACTGAAATTTTTCTGGCGTCTTGGCACAGGCCTGAACCATCTTTAGAAATATCGATTATAATTACATAATTATTGCATAATTACTAAAACGTCGAACTAAAGCCACTCGTGTTGTCGCTTTCGTAAAGCATTTTGTTCAAGTCAACAGAAAATTATTTCAAAAAAGTTCACAAATAATAGATTTCTTCAATTTCCGGGTTTTTATGAAAAATTCAAACTTTGGTAACTTATACAATTCCGCACCTCGGGTACCGACGTACGGGAAAAACACAACCGACGAGGAAATTATGTCCCAATAATTTCTCCTGTTTGGGTGAAGAATATTTCTCCTTAGTTCTGGCTAGCTTTACGTTTGAAGAAATTTGAAATCTAGGGGAACAGTCATTATTTATATTTATCGACTGAGGGATGGCGTCGGAGGGCTTTTTTTTTTTTTTTTTTCCTTCCTTTTTTTTGAGGGGGAAGGGAATTACACGTTTCCCTTGGGGGACAGATGAGGGATCAATTGTTGCTAACAGAGTCTGAAGGGGGAACTACGGAAATTATCCCGTTCACCCCCTCTCTGCCCCCTCCCCTCCCCTCTCTCCCTCCGTACGGTTTTTTTCGACTGGTTAGTTATTCATATTACATTGGTAGAATATCGAAAACATGTATTCAAAGCTAACATTTCACTTGAAAAGGCCAGTGGTCGTTCAGTAATAAAAATAAACTTGCTGTTCTGCTTCTTTCAAATTTCGCTGTTGTGTGTATTAAGCGAATTACTTGCATATATTTTCAATATTGGTAATTGCATACAACTACCGTAGACGGGAGATCATAAAAAGTCAATGAAGGTGGAGGGGAGGGATCATCAGAATACTGCAGTGCTAGTCTCGTAACCAGACCTTTCACGGGCAAGATCACATTTCAGTCAGTAACCCGGTAGGATCTGGGTACTAGATTATGCAGAGCATTATAAGGGGTTCAGGTAAATTTTATTGTGACATTAATAAAATCCCCCGACCCCTCCCCACCCCTTTCGACCGGGCTTTTTGAGTTATTTACATGCACTCTCGCTTCCCAATACAGGAAAAATATTTTGCGTTGGATCTTTCGTAACTCCCTTAATTATTCCTTTTTCCTCTAACTTTGTTTGTTTGTTTGTTTTTTTCCATCGGAAATACAAGCTACACTGTTGATGCAATTTTTTTTGTTAGATTTAGAAGGAAATCTCTGATTTGGCTAATGTTACCTTTTTCCGCTTTTTGACAGAAATAAAAGCAGTAACGTCACAAATGAAACCACAGAAATGCTTTCGAAAGTTCAGGAACTGGACATATTGCACGTAAATACTTTTACCTTCTTTTTTACTTTGCCTAAATGATTAAATGTATCGGTGCAAAGCAGGTAGATTTGACGGTCTATCATGTTCGATTATTTTAAAATAGAAATTTGCCAAATTGTTGGATAGCTCTATCGAGAAAGCTAATTTTCTTGTGATAAATCGACTTGCTAAAATATCACAACCCATAAACTATTTGTCTGAAATAGAGGCCCCTATAATTTATAAGTGACTGAAAATCTTGAGCAGATTGCACTGTAACCAGTCGCAATTTTTTCCCATATTCACCGAACTTGAAGATCTTCGTTCGACTTGTATCGCCATCTGTGTCTTTAACATTTTTCTCAGTTACACCGCCTTCATGTTGAATATTGTGACAATCTACGCTATCCACAAAACTTCAACAATGCCAAAAACTTTGAAAACTCTGCTGCTAAGTCTTGCCTGCTCGGATGTTGCTGTTGGTTTATTTAGTCAACCATTATACACCTTCTTCCTTATCAACTGCCTTCGACTAAACAATCCTGGCTGTATCCCTAAACAAGTGGGGACGATTTTAGGTAGTTTATTTTCAGCTGCCTCGTTCCTCGGTGTTGTGGCTGTAAGTGTAGACAGGTTCTTCGCTGTTCATCTTCATCTCAGATACCAGGAGTTCGTGTGTCACAGGCATGTTGTTGTGGTGGTGGTCAGCATATGGGTGTATAGTGCATTTGTTTCTTTGGTTACATTGTGGGGGCTTCTTAGTGCTTGGAATCTTATAAATACAATTACTGTTGCTTTCGGTTTTATTATCACACTCGTGGTGTACATCAGGATATATCAAACTGTACGACGGCACAAGAATCACATTCAGTCCATGCAAATACGAGACGAAGCTCAGTCTGAGGAGATAAAAAACTTAACTGCTCTAATTAAATACACAGTTGGAATATTTCACGTATATCTCGTGTTTTTAGTTTGTTATTTGCCCCTTTTCATTTGCAAGGCTGTTATTCAATTTTATGGCTCGAGTATCGTTTTAAAGAAACTTTTTCTTTTCTTATTGACTCTCGTGTTCCTGAATTCATCTTTGAACCCTGTCATTTACTGCTGGAAGATGAGACACATTCGACACGCTATCATAGACATATTACGAAAGATGTATTGGAACAGCAATCGGCCATTTCGGATCAATTACAACCGGTCATCGAGTGTCGTCCATATTGATAACTGATCGCCTCTGTGTGGCTTACAAAGACTATGGGCGGTATTTGTTTACGACAAAGTAAAATAGGGACAAACAAGATTGTACATAAACTTAGTGATATGACCCGGCAGCCAAATAATCCCGTGGTTCCAATTTTAAGTACTCGATAAATCGAACAATCTGTAATGTGGAAGGGAAAGGCTTATTTGAGCAAGAAAGCTGGTTTTGTCATCGATGGATAGTGAAATTGTAATTATGGATGTAAATAAAAGTAGGATACGACACAAGATTTTATTCACATCAAGGTTTCCGTCGCTCTTAGTTTCAAATCAGAATTTAAAATCAATAACAGTGGTTGCGGACTTAAGCTTCGGAAAAGGTTTCATTTTTCCCTTGTAAATTTTGCCCATAACTGCCAACTGTTCCGCCGAATTTCTTAAAAATAGCACTAACAGAAAAACAAATAGGAGGTAGTATTTACGAGGGAAAGAAAATCGATGTAAATGATTAGCTAGTGAGTGGACTGAAAACGAAAATGGATTGATCGATATCCTTGGAAATTAAACAAACAACAAAAAGCACCGAGTTTGTGTTAACACTTTTGAGGTAAAAAACTTAGTCGAAGCAGAATATGAAAACGAAAACAGAGGTGGCTTTAGAGTTATTGATTAGCCCGCAGATGTTTGCAGGTTACCCTTGATAACACCGGGAGTTTTGAGAACTTAAAATTAAGTATATTTTTCCTTGTTATTTCCTTTGTTTATATGCAAATAACAGATAGGTTTTGGAATCATTATGACAATTCTTTGCAATTTCAAGACAAATTAAATGGGTCAATAAAATGAGATGTATTGAAAACATTAGTTCCGAAAAAGAAGTGTTCGAAAGTTTGTTTATACAGATAATCGACGGCTTAAATTTTGGGCATATCTATGATGATTACGTGGCAATTTGAAAATGCCTTTCAAAATCTCGGAGAATATTCTAAAGCCTCGATTTCTCCTGGTTTTGAGGGGCAACAGAGTGGGGATCAGTCGTCGCTAAGAGATTTTGTGGGGGGGGGGGAAGGCTAAAGAAACTTGCTTTGGAGGATATTTGTCACAGCGTCGCTTTTCTTAAAAGCAGACAAGGTAAGAAGGAGGGAGGGGGTAATAAGAATATTACAGTCTTATGGGGGATAATGTTACTTTTATCTTGACACAACCAAAATCCTCTTTAGGAAATAAATAAAGCATCAAAAAGCCTTGAAGATGATAACAATACATTCTCAACAATAAACAATGTTTGGTTTAATTATCTTAACCGATAATAAGTTATGGAACTTTTGATATCCCTGACCTCCCTTTTCCTGAATTAGTTTTCGCAGTAATCGTTGCTTTTAGAAGTAAATGCGTTTAATCTGATTTTCTACAGCAGAAAGCCATCAAAAATAGTTCATCTGTCATTTATCCTCCCAAGAGGTTGGTCATTATTTATCGCCTGTGGGAAGAGGGAAGGTGTTAGAGGATCTTGGTCGAGTCACAACAGTCTTTACACAGCCCCCCCATAAGATTCTATAAGATTCCTATGACCCCTCCCTCCTAGGTGACAGTTAATCGGTCAGTCAGTCTCCTCTTAATACTCTGTTGGCGACAACTGAAACCCCTTTGGTTTTCCCTTAAAGCTAGGAAAATCGAAGCTGTTACAAATAATCTCCGAGATTTGGAAAGACATCTTTAAATCACCACATAATCATCATGGATAATCCGTCGATTATCTGTCAAAAAAAAAACAAAGAAACTTTAATAACGAGAATAATTTTTTGACTTTATTTTATGTGACTGACCCATGAACTTGTCTAGAAATTAGAAATAATTGTTAAATTAATTCAAAAACCGATCAGCTATTGCGTCTGAGCGAAAGGAGGTTACAAA